AAATTAAGCAACACTTTTTTCCCCAGGTTTTCTTAACTCCCCTGACTCTTTCCTTATTAGCCTCTTATCTCTCTGTGATTCTGCCCTCTTACCATTCATGACTTGCTCTGAGATAATGGGTTTTTGATCCCAAACATCTGGGTGTGGAGATGTTTCCCTGAGATGCTTTTTATTTTTTATTGTCTACTCCTTATTTACTCCTTTTCCCCACGTTCCTAAAAATACTGCACTTATTGATCATGTATGTTCCTTTTGTCTGAGGAAGATGATATTGAAAAATAACATAGCAAAGTTCAGCGCAGTTCAGATTTGGTTGTGTGTCTCTGTAGCTCCTCCCAATTTCAAAATTATTTGAATCTCTGAAATTGCAAGGTCTCTAATTTGGTAGGTGATATGATTGGAATTACAAAGGAACACCGTTTTTCCCATACCCTCTTTGTGTGTGTGTGTGTTTACTCAACATGTGTATATTTTCTACTTTCCCATCTGGCATCTGCTTGAGCACCAGCCTCACTAGCTGTTCTATGTCAAGAGTACTTTAGCCTTTTCATTATGAAAGAGAAAGCAGTGAAACAATATTAAAAAAAAATACCTCCACTGTCCTCCCCAACCTCACTTTTTTCTTTGCTGTTTCTAAGCAAGTTTCTGGCTATTTACCTTTGCATTTGCATTGCTTATTGATTGGCAATTTTAAAATTGTTTATTGTGCTCTTTTGTTTCCCTGTTGAAGAGCTAAAACAAAAGCTACCAGGCCCTTCGAGGTAGGCATTTGCATGCGGTAAGCGTTGCCCGAGGAAAAAGTAATTGCTAATGCATATTTATGTGGCACAAATTTGCCATTTGTTTATGCATAAAATTATCAATAGTGCAGGGCAGCCCAGCCATAGAAAATGGTGACCTTTTTAGCTTAATAAATAGAAATCAGCTGTTATTGTGAAGAGATCAGCCATTTATTCTGTGTTGAGGGACATTGCCGGGAAAATGCAGATTGGGGATGGCGATATCATTAAATGGAAGGCCAGCGACCCTTTCGGTAGAGTCTATTATACTTTATCTAATAGGGGATAAATGACTCTGGTTGGCAAATGGAATGAAGAATAACAGTTTTTTTCTTTTTTCTTTTGAAAATGGACAACTCTATGAATTTTCAGCCAGTAAAACTAAATAAGAAATCTCATGCTGACCTGTTGCTAAAATTCTCTCAAAGAGTATATTTTAAAGTTGCTTTTTCTACTCACTATTCCTGACTATTTTGATTTGTACTTGTTGAGACAAAGTAAGTCAAATGATATTTTTTCCGGGGAAGTAGGTCTTCTTTTAATTTTTAGCTTTCTTTGGATTTTTTAAGCATGCTTTTTCTTTTTCTTTTTTGATCCTCACCCAAGGACATTTTTTATTCCTTTTAGAGAGAGAGGAAGTGGGGAGGGGAAAGAGAGGGAGAGACAATTTCTCAGTGTGACTGAGAAACTTTGATTGGTTGCCTTCTGTGCACCATGACCAGGGATTGAACCTGCAGCCTGGGCATGTGACCTGACCAGGAATCAAACCCACAACCTTTTAGTGTATGGGATGACCCTCCAACAAACTGAGCCACACCGGCCGGGGCCCATACTTTTTTTCCTTTGCCTTGCAAGTATCTTTGCATTTTACAGGGTGGCTCCATATTTGATATCTGACAAATATTAAAGGTAGAGGAAGAGTTAATCTATAAAATAAAGTTCCCAATCGATTGTAAACTGAAGTTGCTGTTGTTGGTGGTGGTGATCCTGGTGATGTTGTTGGACAAAGCATAATACTTCCTAAGTGATAAAAGTGGCTTTTGAAGTAAGTATGTGTGTCCTTTGGATTAAATAATATTCTGTAAATTAAAACCCTTATCAGCATATTTTCTTAATATGTGAAAAACTAACAGATCATCACTGTATCTTTTTGGGTTGTTTCACTCATGGCTCTGATAGGTGAAATGCCCTCAGTCTCCCCAGAGTTCACCTGTGTCTGTGGTTTAATGTGTGATCTCACCTTACGCTTCTGTGGCTAATATCTCTTTGGTATCTTAGTGAACATTTCTACCTTTAAGGATTTTTAAGTCTTTTCACTTGTTATAGAATTTACTGTTAAATGGAAGTCCTGTGTGTTTCTTTTTATTCAATGTTATCGGGCAATGTTTGATGCACTCAAAATTTTAAGTAAGATGTGAAAAAAGATAAGGGAGCAGATGCAAATGCAACTTAGAACATGGCAAAGCTGTTTGAAGTTCCCTGCGTGGCCCTCTGACTAACACAGTGCAAGGCACTGGCCTCAAACTCTCCCTGGTGGAGTTCTCTCCCTGGGGCTGCTCTTGAGCCCCGCAGTGCGTCCTGCAGCAGGTCCCTGGAGTGACCGAATGACCTCTTACTGCAGAAAGGGGTCTGTCGTCCCTTTTCAAAGAAGAGGGTGTAAATAGGGTTCAGACACTAGGATACATTAGTCCGTCAAATGAATATATTTTTAATGTCATTTATAAGGTATTGGTTTTAGAACTATTAGATGCACATTCCCTAGTGGGAAAAAACAAGCAATGATTTCAAGAGTAGGTTGGAATTCCAGAGGAAGAGTAGCCGTGATTAACCCCTTTTTCCTCAACTCCCTGCCTCCGTGATGTGAGGTCTTCAAGGAGCTGAGAAGAGGACTCCCAGCTAAAGGGGCAGTTTATTGCCTGTTTTCCCTGCACTTGATGAGGGAGCACAAAACAAATTTCAGCTGGATTACTACTGTGTCTCTAAATGTGATAGAACAGGTTCTTCTGGGTTGGTAAGAGCTGCCAGAATGATTTTTAAGGTGGTTTTTAAGTTAGCCAATACATTTTATTTTTAGAAAACCAGAGTGTATTTATTTAGTTTTATTAATTTAAGGGGTTGTTTATGGAGATTATTTAATGTGAATGAATCAAGTTTAGATTTCGTTATAAAGAACAAAGATCTTTTTCCCAACTTGCAGGAAGCCCATCCTGGTGTGGGGACAACTCTGTCCTTTCTGAGGCAAGTTTTCTCTGATGGTGTGAGAATGGCCGTCACCATAAGTTTTAAAATAGGCTGTTTCCTGCTCCATAAACACATAAAAATCATTGTTTTAGCCTCTTCTGTGATAAGAGGATGATAGAAATATCATTTTACTTCTGTGTCATTAAACTCAGGTTCAGAGAACTCATAATAATTCTAGTCAATTTTACCCAATTAATGTTGCTGCCACCTACAATGAATTTTCTCTTAGGCTGCTATGGCTGTTATGTCTTTCTTCTTATATATCTGGAAAGAAAACTAATTATAATATAGGTAGGAAATTTTTTAAAACTCTAATTATGTATTTCATCTTCTGATACGCTGATATGTTATAGTTGAGGAAAAATATGCCAACTGAAATCTGACTGTCTGGAAACTTGACCTGACATAAAGATTATGGTGTCAGACATGTTTTTTTTAGAATTTTATATTTTAACTCAAGTTTTTTGAGTTCCATGACTAAGATATAAAAATACAGGCTTCCTCTTGTGGGTACAATCACCCCCTTTGTTATTTCTGTTGCCTGCATATAGGCTATGGCACAGTGTCTTGGTTTCACTTTTGAGAAAAGTCTTCTGTGATAGTCAGATGTGACATTTCACTTGCCTGAAAAAAAAGTAAAGTTTGGGATGCATTTTTGAAGCAATATTTTTGATGAAAATAAGTACTTTTTTAAATTGGCAGACAACTTCTATTGCAGCAGCATAAGTTCTGATGCTCAAAATTTTTAATAACTTTTGTCATTTTGGATATTCTGTAATGGAGTCATTAGTGAACAGATGAAATAATGTGCTGTCTTTGCCTTGTCTACGTAGGGACCTTTGGATTTCTGTGCGTGTTGTCAAGAGTTCTGATGTTGGAATGAAGTACAATTCCTTCCTACCAGTTGTTCTCCAGAGGGATACTCTATGGCAGTGGTTTGCAAACGATGTGCCGCAAGAATTTTTAAAATTCGCAGTACCTGACTGTTCAGTCAGGGACACTGATCTCTCTTCCTTGAGACTGTCAAATTAAAAAAATGACAACAGCCGACAAACAATAGCTGTCTGGTGTGCATGAGCCAAAATTATTACACCTATTTTTTGTCAGATTGGCAAGAATATATTTCTTGATGTGCCACATAATTTTAGTAATCCGTTTGTGCCATGAGATGAAAAAGATCAAAAATCACAGCTCTATGGTAATCAAGCATCTCAACTACCATAAACCTGGTGATCAAAAACGAATAGTTGGTGGCGTAATAGAATGAGCACTGAAGCGTTACTCAGTTCTCCATGAACTGAGCTGATAGCAAAGAGACCGAGCTGGAGCCGGTGCTGTGGCTGCCGCCAAACCGGGTTTCCTGCTTTCAGGAGTCTGAGGCTTGGGAATTTCAGCTGATTAGCGGATGCCATTTCCGTCCACCTGGGGAAACTGGTAATAAAGCCAGAGTTTTAGTTACCTGTGAAAGTGTCAAAAGCAGTGTTTCTCGGGATGAGCCAGGCAATCACAGAGATACCTAGAGGAAGGAATGGGAATGTGGAGGTCGCTCGCTAGGGGACTCCCGCTATACAATTACGAGTTGACCATTGCTGTCATATAGTTGAATGGAATCTAGTAAGGGACCTATGATGACACCTGAAGATCTCTCATAAATCATTTCCAGAAATAAAAATCTTTCCATCCTGAAGTATCTGTGGATGTTTACATGGACATTAGACAAAATGAACAACTTCAAAGGGGATTAATATATCTGTATACTTTCATAAAACTAATTTACATGCCTATGCATTTTTAGATGAACTCTGGTGGCATTACAATATCAAAGTAATGCCTTTTTTCCCATAAATGATGACTTTATTATATTTATTTATATATAAATTTATTTTGAAAAGCTTAGATATCTTCTGCTTCTAAAAGTTGTATGCTGATATACTAAGACAGAAATATGCACCATTCATGGTCTAACTTTCTTTTTTCTAGCATTCCTTTTGCTGATGACACGATTCCTGTTTGCATCTGTTTACAAGATTCTGAAAGCTAAACAGAGAATTTGGGCGCTGCACTGGACAGGGAAAAGGTATATTCACAAAAACATAATACACACCTTTGAAAAATTGATTACTACATTTGCTCCTTCCTCCAATGGAAGTTTATATGCCTTCTCTTATTTTTAATTTATAAGTAAAATTTATGACTTATGCATATAAGACTATAGCACATAGATTTTTATATTCAGATGACAACTGGATACGCAAATACAATTCTGAATCTCCTTATAAAGGTAATGTCTGTGAACTGAAAGGGGATGGCAACATTATTTTCATTTTCTTAATGAGAGACACTGTTTCCTGAAGTTGCAAAAAGCTTTTTATTTCTGTTGAAAACTACATTTTAGAACCTTTGTTGCTGCTTTTTTGTTGTTGCTGCAAAAGAAACATTTTGGGTCACAACAGGTAGGTCACTTATTTTACAACGATTTCCATAGGCTATTAAGTATTCCAGGGTACGCTTTTATACACACACACACAAAAGCGCAATTTTGCAGAGGCCAGATACATTCCAATTCCCTTGACAGAAAAATGTATGGGTATCTATCTGTGTATGAAATGCTTGTTTGTTTTTTCAAAGAAGTTATACTCTTGGGAACAGGAACTGAAAGTTTGACCACGGACTCAAGTTGAAAATCCTTTTATAATCCCATGACTGACTAATGGTCACGCGGGGCAGCAGGAACGTTTGGAGGTGAGGGATCCTGTTGTTTGGAGTCGTTTGTCCCTAGGAACATGGGAAAGGCATGCTCTTTCAATGCCTGAAGAGAATAATGGAGCAGTGGTCTTTCTGCAAAGTGAACTAAAACTCGTTTGTTCACTAATCTACTCTTAAAGTCTTATGACTGCTTCTAGAACTTCAAGATACACATTTATTTGTGAAAACATTTAGGACAACAGTGGTTTTTTAACTTAAAAAATTAGATTCATAAATTGTTATCAATCTACATAATGTTAAAATGTCTTATTTGTAAATAAGACTTCATGTAGTCACAGACAAATGAAATATAATCTGCAGGAAGGCATAGTGAGTAATGAAATTTATGCTAATAGAAGTGGAATTGAGTCACAAATAAATATAGCAAATATGAAACTTCTGTAATTTTACAAGTAAAACCACCAGTGTAAGTAAAAGGCAAAGAACAAACTGGGCCACTTATAATAAATGGAACAAACATTACATGTAAAAAGCTGTCATTATAAGGAAGACTCTCACATTTAATTTAAAACATAAGACAAGAACAGATTATTAATGAGGAATGTAATTCTGATACAAAAAGCAGACAGAATGCAGTTACTATCTATCTAGTTAAAAGTTACTATCACTCACTGTATAACTAGTAGAAGGCATTTTGGAATGACAGGATTGTAGCCAGAATGTGGGGAGATGGGTGCTTTCAGTAATGTTGGAAAAAGAATAACACTGTACTTGTTCAGCTTTCCGGGAGGTGATTTGGCTATCTCTGTTAAGAGCCTTCAATGTTTCCAAAGCATTCTCTGCAGTATTTCTACTCTATTCTTTTGGGGAACATTTGATTGCAAGTAATCCAAATACTTGTAAAAGATTGAACTTTATGTGTCTTTGATGTGAAGTCTGTACTGGCCACCCAGAGCTGGTTGGTTGGTTCCACAGGCATCAGGGACTCAGATCCTTCATCTTTTGCCGTGTTACTCTGAACACATGACTTTTACCGTGGCATGTCTAATATTGGCATGCCAGCAAACATGTTCATATTCCAATAACAGAGAGAAAATATTTCCAGAAGATCACCTTTTCTCCCTTTAAGGACATCTTCTGAAAGGTGTCCATACCCCTTCCATTTACATTCCCTTGGCTAGAACACAGTCACATGAACATGCCACAGGGCAAAAGAGTCTGGAAAATGTAGCTTTTATTTTGGAATATAAATGTGGGCGAATTATTACAGTGGAATAACAAGAGAACAGATATTAAGGCCCATTAACAACATCTGGCAATTTCATTTCTAAGAAACCAACTTAATGAAATAATTAAAGAAGATGAAAACTTATTAATGGAAATATGTTAATTTCATATATTTATAATGGGAAGAATTTGAGATTGAACTAAACTGTCCAACAACAGAGTAGTGGTTAGATAAATTTGAGTACTTTTATGTGATATAATAGCGAATTTTTGGATTAAGAATTTTATAAAAGTATTTTTAGAGTCTTCTGTTACTTTAGAATATCACAGTTAGGTCGAAACCTGTGAGAAATTCTTTGCAGATTTTATACTAAAATCTGCAAAGCATTCCTCTCTACCCTGCCCCGAACCTAAGCTGACTTTAAGTCTTTGGAACGTGTAAAGAAAGTGTAATGTCAGGGAGCACAGGTGTCGGAGACACTGTTTCAGCTCTTAACTGGGTCCCTTATGCCTGTCTGTTGTTGGGTTCACTCCTTGACCACTGGCTCCCCATGTATAAAACTGAAATTATAATAGAATCCACTATTATGCCAACCATACCTCATGCCAGTACTTCCCATGGGAACACTGGTGTAGCGACTCAAATGTCAAACAAAATTGACTTTAAAGCCCAAATCATTTACTGAAGATACTTACTTTTTAAACTATTAAAATTTCAGTTCAGTGGGAAGATCAAGTTATTTTAGACTTAAATGCCCCTACTAGCAAAATTTAAAAATTATTAAGGAAACATTGACATAATAGTGAGGTGAAATAAAGAAATCCACAATAGCAGTGGTTATTATTTCATCTCTCTCAGCAATGGGGAGAGTAAAATAGACAGAAAACATCAGTAAGTCAGTAGAATTAAAAGACAAGATTGAGAAATGACCTGATAGACATATACAGAACCTTGCATACTTTTACAAAAGTCCCGTTATTTGGAGGAATACATGGACTGGTTACAAAACTGAGTAGTGCACTAAGTCATAAATTAGTTCTCAACCATTTCAAAGTTTTGGAATCATAATGAAACTAAGCTGCAAGTGAATAACAAAAATATAGGTAGAAAAGTTTCAAGGTTAAAAGATCATCATAGAAATTGTAAATACGTTAATATGTTACACTAAACAAAAGTGAACATTCTACAGATAAGATATAATGTCTGTAAGACGTATTTCCTGGGAAAATTATGTCTTAAATCAATGTATTAGAAAAAAGAAAGGAAAATTAGTAGGCCAAGAATTAATTTCAAAAAGACCAACAAAGTAAACTTATAACAGAAGGAAGACATTAATTAAAGTAAATGCAAAATTAATGAAGTGAAAAAGGAGACAAAGAAAGTGAAAGATTGATTGTTGCAAATAATGAATGAGTTTTCCATACCTGTGATGAGACTGAGCAAGAGAGCAAGTGACAAAGGGGCACATAACTATTATCAGGAACGACAAAGGTGACATCGCAACAGCCAGTGGAGTAAAACGAGATAAATAAATAAAGTTATTAGGATTGAAAAAGAAACTGTTATCACTATTAGCAGATGATATGAGCCAATAAGAGCATTTAGTAGGGTTGATGCATACAATACAATGCACTGAAATCAAGTGTTTTTCAGTATATTGGTATCTATTTTTATCTAATATACAGTGATAATAGATGTGCAGTGCTTCTGTGCAGAAAATTATGAAACTGTTCAGAAATATTTTGAAGGCTGAAATAAATGATGAGCTAAATCATGTTTATGATGGAAAGATCCAATACTTATACCCAAATTGATTAAGTATAATGTAATCACTATCAAAATGCCAACTGGTTGTTTTGTGTTTGTTTCTTTGTTATTTGTTTAGCTAGTAGTGTGTGTGTGTGTGTGTGTGTGTGTGTGTGTGTGATGTGACAAATTCTGAAATGCAAAAAGCAAAGAACAGTCAAGATACTCTTGGAAAAAAAAAGAAAGTATGGGTAGAAGTGCTTGCCCTTCTGCATTATAAAGCTCCCAGAAAGTGGCATTACTGTGGGTGTAGACAAGTAGACAAATAACAGACAACATAGAGCTCAGTGACCTCGTGGATATGTGTACATTTTATTTATAATAAGAATGACACTTAAAAGCAGTGTAGAAATAACAGTCTTTTAAATACATGGTACTGGGAAATTTGATTATTAATTGAAAAAACAAATTGAGTCTCGAGCTCATACCACACAAAAATATCAACTTCAGTTGGTCAAAAACTAGGTGTAAGAGGCAAAATGATAAGGAAATCTCCTATCAGAGGGTCATCCATATTCTCATATGAGAGAATCTAAGAACATTTTATGACTTGGGAGTAGAGAAGGATTTCTTGAAACAAAAACACATATATTCTACATTATTTTTTTGTAGACAATTATTCAGATCCACTTTTGGTTCATAGCACCACTAGCAAAACGTAGAGATTTCCCATATACTACCCACCTGCTCTCCACACACACGCCCTCCCCTAGTATTACCTCCCACCCTAGTGATACATTTTTTGAGTTCAGGATTGATGCATCATTATCACCCAGAGTTCATCATTTACACTAGAGGCCACATTAATTTCTTTTACTTTGTTTATAAGAAGCACCATAACAAGAGAGAAAAGATAAGACATGGAGTAATAGAAAAAAATCACAAAATATCATTGACACAAGTGGTATCAATATCAAGAATAGATTTTGTAAACCTACAAATCCATATAAAAATCAACTCAATCCAATAAAAAACAAGAAATCAAAATGTCCATTATTATACCAAAATGCCCAAATATAACATATTGAAAAAGAGCTTAGCCTCAGTATTAGTTAAGGAAATACAAGTTAACTCTTAATAAAAGCCCACCGCGAATGCTTCAGAATTGGAAAACAAAATGGTGAGCAGGTCAAAGCACTGACAAGCATGAGAGCAGCAGTGACATTCAGAGTGTTCATTGGGATACTAATTGGAACAACCACTTTCCAACATAGTACCTAGTGAAGCTAAAATTCATGGCCCTGCTCAAGCATCTCAGTGCTAGATAATACTTCTGATAGAAATATGTGCCTATGTGTATCAGGAGACGTGGACAAGAATGTTCACAGGAGAAATAT